TTAAAAAAAAATATTCATACCTTGGGGCTTCTCTTACAAGAGAAGCTATATGCTATTTAAGCTTGTGTCTAATTTACTTTACTTAAACTTATGGTCTCAAGGTACATCCATTTTTCTATAAATGACTCAAATTCATCTAAAGAGTCACAGTTTATCATGTATAAATACATTTTCTTTATCCATCAAGGCAACAATGCTATAAAATAATGTGCTTTTATCTGCTTTTAATGTAACATTGGCACATGCAGATCTATTTTTTACTATCTACAGTATATAATTCATACATGTCCATTTAGTATGGACATTTAGATATTTACTGCATTTTTTGCTCTAATAAATAATGTTTGGAAAAATTAATTTGTCAGTATTTCTGTAGAATAATGGCCTAATTTCAGGATTGTTGGATCACAGGATATGTACATTTAAAATGTTGACTGATCCTGCCAAAATAACTTCTAAAACATTGCTAATTTGTAGTCAGACTAGAAGTATATGAGGCATAGTATTTTAAGGAAGGGAATATTCAAACATGAAACTAGATACAGAGAGAATTTGGTTGAAAGATTTGTTTTTTCAAAAGAGACAGAAAATATGCATTATTTTGAGTGCATAGGACAGATGGCTTTGTCTTCCCAGACCACATGGAACACTTTTTTCAAAAGAGATTACAAATGAATCCAAAGAGATTTAGTTAAGCAAGGAAGTCTTCAGTTATTCAGTTAGGACTTATTTTGTTAAAAGCAGATCATGAAATAAATTCTTGCAGATAATTTTATCTACATTTTATCTTAATGAGGAGACCCTAACTCTGCTTTTGTATTTGGCTCTAACCATAATGGAACACTGATCTGTACCACAACAGTGAAAAGATCCTCGCTAAAACATATCACATCATCTTAGAATTTATAATATTTGTGATATGCAACAATATCAATTGTATGTTTATACATGTAGTTAAGATCTTAGAGAAACAAATAATGAAAGGTTTAGAGAAAACATAAATGACTAGAGTGCTAACTAGAGAGGGTTACCTATAAAATATATTTTAAAATTAAATTTTAGTAATTAAGTAAAAATTTGAGTGTGCCTATATACTAGGGTAGGTACTATTTTCTAGATTAAAAAAAATTATTTATGTTTTGGCCTATGAATCAATTTCATTGTAGAGATGTTTCATTAGTGAATGCAGAATACCTCAAGTCCCTGGTGATAGTTCTCAGGCTTAAGTATATGCCTGAATTGTCTCAGTGGCTCTTCCTTTTTGTGATTCCAATCCTATTAACAGACTTTTCTTTAGACATGTGTCTGGCCTCTGAGACATTCACTTTAAACATCTGGTCTTACCTATTATATGTTGATTTTGTATTTTTCTTTTCCTTCCTCCCTCTACCCAGACTCCTTCCCCACCCTCTCTTTCTGGTACTGAAGATTGAACCCAGGGCCTTCACACTGAGCTACATCTCCAGCCCTTTTGATCCTATTTTTATTTTTTGAGACAGGATCTTGCTAAGTCACTGAATTGCTCAGGGTAGGCTTGAATTTGCAGTTCTTCTGCCTCATCCTCCTAGAGTGCTGGGATTGCAGGTCTGCACCACCAGACCTGGCTAGGAATGTGTATTTTGAATGCTGTGGGAATTGAGAGGTACCACAGTGTCATACTTAGTGTGAGCTGTGCTTTGTTATTGTGCCTGTGCCTGATATGCATTTCTACAATGGCTTAATGTAGATCTGAACAAAATCAGTGTTGCTGAATCCTTTGCATAAGATCTTAAGAGCTCTTTCTTTCTTTTTCATTGACATCTTCAAAGCTGGAATATTGCAAGAGCAACAATTTTCAGCTTGGCATCTCTTCAAAGCCTTTAAATTGCATCACAAATTGCCAGATTAGTTTCTTTCACCCACTGTGCACCTTCTTAGGAGGAACCTTTTGCTTCATCTTGTGGATGAACTCTTAATTTTTTTTTTTTTTTTTAAGGAAAATAAGAAACAATGAAGACCCAAGAGGGTTATCCAGTCAAACTGCTATCACAGAATAAAAGAATAAATGGCCCATACAAATGAAATTTTTAACATTACCCTTAAACTTAAGACATCTTTCTTTTGAAAAACAGTCAAATATCATATTATATTATTATATATATATTATATATCTTATTATCTCTCTATTCACAATGTAAACTAAGTGGTTTCCTGTAAAACATTTTTAAAAATCTTAAAGCATAGATCAGCTCCTCTGAGGATTTATCAGTGCCTCCCTATTCTGAAATCTCTATAGCAGTGTTAGAAGAGATATAGTACTGTTTCCATACATCATGTTCAGGTACAAACACCCAATGATAAATGTAAATGTATTGTATACCTAAAATGTACCAATTAATATATAAATAAAAAAAATAAAGTACTGTTTCCTTTGATCTGTGCTTTTGATCCCAAGAGTTTGCCTGAAATTGCTCCTCTGCTACCCAGCCTATCAGCGCTGTTACCTTTGGCACCAGTGACAACAATAATTTTGTTCTTCATGAATTTCCTTAAAGTCTCAATTTAACAGTTAACCTAAATAAACTGACTTTTAAAAATTGTAATTTTAAAATTTCCTTAGCTATTGATGTGTATTTGCTGCTCCTCATAGCAAAAGTATTGTTATTATGAGGCATGCAAACTATATGTGCTATTACATTCAGAAGCAACTGACAGCAATCAAATTGTGTGGAGAAAATGGCAACTAAAATGCCATTTTCCTTTATTTTTCCATGTATTTATTTCCTTTTAAATTTTGTGGTGCTCAGGAGCAAACCCAGAGCCTCAGGCATGTGGGGCCAAAAGCAGTACGACTGAGCTGTATACTCTCAAGACTAAAATGCTGTTTTTAAGTATTGTGCATCCCAATGTGATGGTTTGTTTATATTTGACAATTTACTTTAAATATCTGTAAAAATTTTGGGGGCTGATGTGTAATGAATTTTATTTTTTCCCACTTAAAAGCAGGCTCTCATTTACTATTTTCTTGTGGACTATTAGGTTTTTTGGTGCTGGGGGTTGAACTCAGGACCTTGTGCTTGAGAGGAAGAGGTTGTGCCACTGAGCTGAAGCCCCTGCCCAACTATCATGTTCTTAAGAACGAATGATTGAAGTTAAGTGAGATAAACCTGCACTGACATTTCTTTAATTTCTAGGACAAGTTTATGCTGTGCTTTATGTTGATCTTCTCATTTTCTGAACTGGAGAATGTTAAAATAATTGTGATTATCTTGTTCCTATTCCACCATTGTATACTGGGTGTGTTGATGGGGGAGATAATGAACATGAGAGTGGATTCTGGTCCTAAGGAAGATCCTGGACTTTGATAAGGGCATGGTAACTACACAGGACTTTAGATTGTATCTTTTGGGAAGGGAAAATATGTTTCTCTGTTGAAAGAATAATGAGCCCAGATGTTTGTAGCCCCAAACATAAAGCTATGGCAGATAGGCCAGCTGCCCCAATATCTGTCCTTTCCATTTTTCTCAGTAATAAAATCCTGAATGTCAGATGGGCATTTTTCCCACCAGTTAAATAAATAAAACATTTTCCAGCCTCTCTTGGAACAAAGTATGGCCCTATTATTAAGCTTTGACCAACGGATGTAAGAAATGGTTTATATGAATCTTCTGAGATTTTTTTTTCATTTTGAGACAAGGTCTTATGCAGTTCAGAGTGGTGAACTATGTAAGTGGTGAATTCACTATGTAGCCCAGGGTGGGCTCAAACTCATGATGATCCTCTTGCCTCAGGCTCCCCAGTGTTGGGATGAGAAGTTTCCTTAAAGAGAAGTTTGTCCTCTTCCCCTTTGGCCCTTCTAGGTGATGTGAAAGGAGCCTGGGATCCCTGATGGTTGTGGAGCCCAGTTTAGGATGGCCTATCTTTATCTGAGATACACTTTTATTTTTTTACCATTGTCATTTGGGGCTTTTCATCTGAGTATTCCTCTTTCATTTCTTTCTGACATTTTACATCTGACTTACTGATTTAGTTTTCCTGTTTAATTGTATGACTTTTTCCCCTAGAGTGCTAGTTTCATGAAAATAGAAACATCGACTCTTGTTCATTATCTGTCCCTCCAGGGCTTAGAATAGTGCTAGGAAAATAGTAATGACTTAGTAGGCATTTGTAGAACGATTGATTAGACGATTAGATGAGTCTCTTATAAAGACAGTGAGTTCTTGCTTTAAGAAAACAAAATTTAGAATTGCAAAGAAACTGAAAGGTTACAGAAGAGGCAGTTGACATTTAGGGAATTACAGGACTCAGGTCACACAGCATTCTTGTCGTGCCAATCAGTTGCTGGTAAAGCTCTCTAGCCAAGTAACACACCACTGGTGCTTCCACTGTGTGTACAGTTCGGTTGAAGAGCACCTGTTAAGGATGCTGTAGCCAAGACTGCCCATGGGTTTAGCGTTTGGGCAAGATGGCTTACTGCTCTTTCCTCACACAGAACATAGCTAACAGATTTTTCAAGCCTCCCCAGGTACCACAGAGCTTAAATCGTGCAGCAACTGGGAGCAGTTCTGTTGTAACCAGCAGACAGCCTCGGTATCTGAACCTGGCTCCCTCCGACAGGGAAGGGGAACTGGCTGTTCTGCTGAAGATATTTCCCCCAGGCGTTCCTCTGGCCAACTTCTCCCTCCACCAGCTCCCAACAAAGACATTTAAGCTCTTTGTTCTACTGTTCTCAGCTCTACTTGGCCGGACTTTGAAGGGACAGAGACTGAAGTAAAATTGACTCAAGTCACCTACCGTACGGTATTACACTCAGGCTGCCGAGCTCGCACTCGAGCGCCAGGCCCAGCGCGGGGAGAGAAACACAGGCGAGACCTGAAGCCGGGCTCCGGGCCGGCGCAGTGCGCGCTCTCGGCAGGAAGGTCCTCACATCCTGCGTCGCCAGAGCTTCGGGTTCTGCTGGCTCGCGCCTGTGCAGACCCGCCGCGGGAGCGCGCGCGCTCCGCCTCTCTCCGCCCCCCGCGTGCGCGCCCCGCCCCCTCGAGCTGGGATACGTCGAGAGCCCAACATCCGAGGACTTTGGCCCAGAGTAACTGGGCTCGAGTGACCTTTCCCCTTCATCCCGCAAGTCTAGCTGCCGGCGGTGGGGGGAGTGGGCGGTTGGGCGCCGGTGTCGGTCCCTCCCGAGCCCCAGCCGTCCCCCTCCCGGGCCCTCCGTGCTTCTCGTCATGGCGGCCCTCAGCAAGTCCATCCCTCATAACTGCTACGAGATCGGCCACACATGGAGCCCTTCCTGCCTGGTCTCCTTCCTGCAGATCACTAGGGACGCCCTGGAGGAGTCCCTGAAGATCTATGCCCCTCTGTACTTGGTGAGACCCATCAGCCTCTCTCTCAGGAGGACTTTAGTGGGGAGGCTGGCCGGGGTAGCCGGCGCCCCGAGGGGCTCTAGGGACACGTCTGGGGTGGGTTTCTCTTTTGGAAAGGCACACAGCTTTGGGGGAAGGTGGGTGACTGGCTGGGAGGGGGCGGTCCTAAGGGCCGGCGCCCACACTTGTAGGAGAAGGAGGGGGGGATTAGAGGTTGAGCTGTCATCTGAATTGCCTGTTGCTAGGAAAAGGATGGGCCCCCAACTTTTAGGATTAAATGTAGGGTACTTAAATCTGAGTTCAAGGACCTGAGTTATTTTTCCTTTCCTGGCTTGTTTTGGAAAGATGTTTGTAGATCAGTGAGACGATGAGATTGCTTGCAATCTTTCCTCACCTAAGGCTGTTTTGCCTCTCTTTTCCCTGTCTTCTCCCCGCCCCCCTTTGAATGTAAAAAGGCATATTTCACCCTATGTCCCTGTCCCTGTGGCCGCAGATCTTGTCTCACTGTGTGGAATGACAGGATTGTAACTTGAGGATTTTGCAAATGTTTTCGCAGGTTTATGAAATAGGCTCCTGATTTTAGATTTTTCGTGGTGATTTAAAGAGTGGTTCCAGTCTTTGAATCATTGAAGGTGTTTTAGGAGATCTGATTTATGACATCCAGGTCATTTTATTATACATCTTTACATGTAGGGAATTAATAGAGAATATTCAGAAACATGTATATGTCCTGACTAGAGAACTATTAGAGAAGTTTGTTCTTAAAATGTTCTTGCCAACAGCTTTCCTTCTATAATCTCATCCTTGGTTTAAAGATTTATTACTTTGGTCACTGAACTTCATTGTCTCTTTTTATTGCCTCTAGAGTCTGCATCCTAAGAAGGCAAGGTCTTTCTTTTGTTATTTTGTTTTTGCTTTTTGTTTGGTTGTGTGTGTTGCCTAGAAGTTCCATTCACCATTCAATGGATGGTCAGTTAATTCTTCTTACTGAAATGATAATTTGGACTCTAACATGCCCAAAGGTGTGTTATGACTATATCTGTAATACCACTTTAAAAGTCTGATTAGTTCTTACAGAGATAAAATGGGAGGAGATAGTGACTTCTCTGAGATTACAGGAGCCTCATAGCCCTATGCTATAGAATGGTGCTTCTCAAACTTTAACGTGTATTAGCAGTCCCCTAGGGATCATGTTAAAATGGGGGTTCTGAATCAGGTATGGGGGAGGAGGCAGGGGAGCTGCTTTTCTAATAGACTCCAAGTTAGTGATGTGGCACGAGCCACACTTTAAAGAGTAAAAGTCTAGAGTAGAGGTCAGTATAGACTCATTGGAGTTGAAAATAGCTTCCTTGATTTTCGTTGGCAAATATTCATGCTTATCTTCTTTTCTTCATGTATTGTGGCCAGTCTGTGGTTCTGATTTTGTTGTGTTGGGGATTGAACCCAGGGCCTTGTGCATACTAAGCACGTGTTGTTTAACTGAACTATACCTCCAACCCCAGATTTCTTCTTAATTGTATGTCTATGTACAATGAACTCTGGAAAATTGAGCTGTACAAAAAGACTGTTCCTGGGCTGGGAATGTAGTTTAATGGTAGAGTGCTTGCCTGGAATGTGCAAGGTACTGGGTTTGATCTCCAGCACCACAAACAAAAAGATAACGTTCTTGACCTCAGAGGATTATGAAGTAGAGAAGAAGGGAGTTTATGCTATGTAATTTTTTCCTCAAAATGCATAGCAAATTCATTCATTCATTTATTCAACAAATGTTTGTTGAACGTCTGGTATTTGTTCTATCCCCAGCCTAGACAATTTATTAATTATATTCTATGATAGGAAAGTTCAGGGGAGCAACAGAACATAGATTCTCTCACTTCTGCCAGGTGGAGGGATTAGAAAAGGAGTTGTATTTTACTATTATAAGTTCCAACTAGATTAAATACTTCGTGAGGATAACTTTTCCACCTCATGTGATCTTGCATCTTTTACAGTTGAGTATTTCAAATTTTTGCTATTCTTCAGTGGTTGTGAAATGAAATTAGTAGGAAATTAGTAGCACTTTATTTTAAGTGAAAAGGAAGAGATTAGAAAATGTTAAAGCATATTGAAGTTACTATGGGTAAGCATTATTTCATGATAGTTTTGTTTCAGTTATATGTGTATATGTGGATGGGGCTACTTAGAGCATATAGCAACACTATGGCCTTTGTAAGTGTTGGATGGTTGTTGATTAAACATATATTTCCATGTGTCAGGATACAAGGTGATGGGAAGAGAAAAAGTTGGGCTTTTAAAAGGAATCTGGGATTTACATTTGAATCTCAGCTCTATCATTTACCAGCTGTTTGACTGTGTGTATATTACTTTAACTTTCTCTGTGAGAATGAAATGAAATAAAATAATGTATTAAAAACATATTGAATATTTTCTAGTTCATAGCAGGACCTGAATAATTAAGCATTTTTTTTCTTTCTCCCCTTGCCCAAGTGGCATTTAGGAATAAAGTTCATTGAACGTGGACAGGGAACGATTGATTTGATGATAAGGATGGACATTGATTTCTGTAGTAGATATTTATAGAACGCTTAATTTTAGTGGAAAGGTAATAATGTGAATTGAAGTAAAAATCTACATGTTTTTGTAAGAGAATCAAGGCATAAATTGTCTAAAACCGAAGGTTTTTATATAGAAGTTATGAATAACTTGTTTAATATCTTTAATTCTTTACATATTTTAATTTAATCCTCACACAATTCCAGCTTATTATCCCCATTTCATAGATAAGAAAACTGAAGGTTAAAGAAATTAAGAGACTTATAAGAGTTAGTACTAGTAAGGAAAAAACAGGATTCAGTTCTTTTGTCTGACAAAGTCAGATGAAAATCAGGTAAAAGAAACAAAGAATTTTTTGAGCCAAGGGGTTACAAGTAAGAATAGTGTTTAGCAATATGATGAATCTGGAAGCACTAGGTGGGGTAGATTGGAAAGACTGCTTAGGAATTAGGGCAGTAGAAAGTGGAAAGAGTGAGGGCTCCTGTGAAATTCACCTGGCAGTTTACTACCAGTGTGATCTCAGGGAGATTACTTTATCTCTTTATGTCTTAGACTTTTTGCTTTACAAAAGATAATCATATGTTTTAGGATGTCCTGAGGATTTAAATAGGGTAATATTGTGTAAGAATGGCTGATGACATATAATAGGGCCCTAATAAAGTGGTGCAATCTTACATTAATGCGATCTGTGTCTCCATCTTCTCTTAGAATGGGTAGTTTGCATTCAGTGAGTACACTCTAAATGTCTGAATGAGTGCAGCAGGTATGAACAAATGAATGAGCTCACCAGTAGTGCAGGAGGGAGAAGATACTTTCATGGCTTGCCAGAGAAAATGAAAAGGCAGTCCTAGAGGCATTTCACAGGAAGAATGAATAGAATATTGAGGCATCATGAGGACTTAATGTTTCTAGGATTTCAAGTTTCATTAGTGCACTTAGCATTATTGATAGAAATGGAAGAATTCTGAAGGGAAGCTGGTTTGGGGGAAGATTTTTTTTCTTTTTATCAGGAGTAGTTTTTGGAGTCTACAAGATGGGTCTTATATACCTGCTTTTCATTTGGAATTTATCATGTTTCATACTAACTGGGTTCTTTCCATTCCTGTCATATTTACTCTCTTGTTGTATACATCTGTTCTCATGCTTGTTTTCATCTTGGTATCTGCAATTATAGTACCTTCTACCTAAGCCATTTTGAAGTGTGGCAAATTTTAGAATACCCAGTTGTCCATTTGGGAAGTATGAATTCTATGCTTTCAGATATTTGGGTGCTTTCCCTAAGAACATGTGTCCACTAACTTCAGGTGGTTTTAAGACCACTCTTAATTATCTTTTTCCTAGGTCCTTTGGTTTAGGACTTCCACATTGGGGTGCTAGTATTTATTCTTAACTGAATCAGAAATATATAGAATATTTATACTTTTGGGAAGGAATGATTTGAAAACTTGAGTTTTCATTCACTTTTAGATATGTAGGTCCTTTTTCAGAGTATAAAACTGTTTTCAATATTTCCTCCCTTTGAGCCATATAATTTAACAAATATGTAATTATAATCTAACAAACCTGTTGTAATCTGCCTGTCAGATTATAAAGGATATGTTCATCACCTCTAGGCCTTGAATTAACATTTAAGCTAGAGATGGAATTCCTAGGAATAAAAAACAATTATGGACATTCTGTAGTTATTTGTCAAAGCTTGAAAACCACCAACTCTAAAGAAATAAGTTCAGTGGTATAGAGTCCTGCAGTGGTTTAGCAGGTTTTGTAGAAATAAACAAGATTAGCCATGATCTTGAGGCTTTTTGAGTTTTTTGGCAATAGATATTTATGTTTTTTGTTTGAAAAAATAAAATAAGAAACCCAGCATCACTGAATAATGCAAACTACTGAGAATATGTGGCAGGATTATCTGATGTCTTGAGACCATAGTATGCAAATCTGTGGATATCACTTTTTGATTTTGCTTGAGGCCTGTTTTACCCTTGTAAGGGAGTGGCTGGCTTTATCTCTCTATTCAATAAGTACATAATGATTTTTTACTTGATTTGTTACCCCCTTGGAGATGGAACAAAATCATTTGGTCTTTTTCCTTTCAAATGGGAAATCAAATGATTAGTTTTCCTGTGCATTAATTTGCCATTTTGAGTTTGTTGAACTTATTTTTTTGTACTTCTTGTTATTCTTTGGCTGTTTTCTGTTGAGAACAAAGTACAACTTCCAGCATATCATTTTTTTTCCCATTGAGTTTATTGGTACATTTTAGGTATAAAATACAGTTACATTCATCATTGGGAACTTGTACCTTTACATGAGTGTCTTGGTTC